CAGGGAGTTGCAGAGAGCAATAGGATCTCCCTGGGACTCTTTTTCTCCAGGCTGAGACCCCCCCTGCCCCATTCTCTCAGTTGCTCAATTTTTGTAATAGACACAAAGAGACAAAACAACTTTCTCCTGGTGAGTGAACTCCCATCCTTCTGGCGTGCAAGCAGAGAAACCAGAGAGCACAGGAATTACAGAAATAAAATGATGAAATGCCCTTATAATCCTGTCAGGGTTGATTTTTTGATAATGCAATGTCTGCAGGAGGAATTTCATGCAAATGACAATCTGCTGTAAGCAAGAATCTGTGTCCATCAACCCAAACATTTATATACATATATATGTATATATATATAAAAATAAAATTGTATCTGTCTATTTATATGTATATAAAATGGATTTTACACCTCTTCTTCCTAATTCATTGTCCTCATTATATCACACTTCTGGGTATCTCCTGCAGAAGATCCTCACAGGGGATGACCAAACACCCTTTCCTAGGTTCTCCAGTTTCTAGAGGTGTGTCTCAATGTGTTGTTGATTGTGCTGTCTAAAAAGTTTTGATTTCCTGGTGATGGATGTTAGTCCAATTGATGTTAAATAGCATGGAGCTGCTTGTTATTTGTAAGTCAGGCTATTGGAGCCATTTATCCTAGTTTCAGCCCTTCCCAATATCCACAGGCAAAATTCTGAGTCACTGCAAAGCTGATAAAAGACTGAGTTTTTCCTCCTTCATGTTCACTCAAGGAGCCCTGAACCAGGAAAAGTTACCAGCAGTATCATCCAGAAGGCCTGTATTTATGATCCACAGCCCAAACATCCAGGAGGAGCTGTAATAAGGCAGAAAATTGATGAGCCTTATAAAGGTTTTATACAACTAAACCCTGGAGCCTTATAACTACATCTTGCCAAGAGTCACCTTAATTCAATGTTTACTAATGATGTCCTTCATCTGTAGTGCCTGTATCTCTTCCTGTACTGCAAAACCCAGTGATAACGCACTCAGCAGCAAAACAAAACCACCAAAAGGACTATGTCACTGTAGCCTTGATTAATCCCAAGGTCTTTATCTTTCATGATCAGTTTTTAGGAGTATTTGTGGGAAATGGCAACAAAACACTGCTGATTCACATCTGATGCACTTCACACCCCATCGATGTAGATAATTGTACAAGTTACAAGGATGTGGAGAGTTCTGGAGAGAATTCTGTCCCTGAATCTTATGCTCATGTCAAGGGTATAAATAACTTAAAATGGTTTGAATTGTCATGCTCTCTGGTGGGATGACACCCCAAATATGAGAAACTATTATTATTGCCCTGACTCTGGACATGGCAATGATAAAACTCTGTAATGAATTAAACGTTAATGGTTCCTTTCTTCACCATATAAAGGGATTGAACCCTGTTATGAGGTCTATGCACCATATTGATCAAGTTTTATGTCCCCTCAGGATAATTAGAACAGCTTTTCTCTGAAAAATACAAACATCCTTAATTAGATTATTTCACTCTGGTGTCTGCAAAAGAAAGCAAAAAAAAACCCAAAAAACATATAAAACCCAACAAACCTCACAAAATATGTTTAGGTGAAAAAGGATAGTGTCAGGGCTTGGTTGTCTTGTTTTTCCTAAACCTGTTTTATCAGCTTTGGCAACTGTTTTTCCCTGTGTGAGAAGGAAAAATACCATAACCATAAAAGTGCACACAGATGTATTGTCTGAAAGCCACAAGAGTGGTGTCAGAGGCTTTAAATTAGCAGTTTCATGTCATCTTTTTCTCCTCAGATGTTCACCTTGTGGCCATTCAATGCATGCTGCTGTTCAGTGTGAGCTCTGTGTGATGGTTTGGGGCAGATTGATTTGACTGATACATGGATCAGATCCCAGCTACCGTTGGGAGAGAAGGTGTCACTGAAGAACAGGGCTGAGGCACCTGATTACTAATTAATCAGACATGAGAAAAACCTCATGGAATCAGCTTCTATTTAATTATGGAAGCCTCATTTGGCATAGGAGCATATGCTGCTAACTCAATCGAGTACTTTCAACTGACATCAAATAGTAATTATCAGAAAGAATCAAGTTTTTTGATTATTCATACTAATTTATTGAACACTTAAAATTAATGAACCTCAGTTATTTTAAATTTGCTCAGTTGCACTGGGAGAAAAGGAGGGAGGTAGGGAAGGATGGGTTCCACAATTTAAAAGTATAGAGACTTGTTTAAAGATAAAATAAGTAAATTACAATATGGCATGAAATCCCATCGGTGGGTTGATGCACACAGAGGAAAGTTCCAGGCATGTTCTGGAACTGAGGAAAGTTCTGACAATGGCTTCATTGATACAATTCTTCTACCCCCCAGAAAAATCTTCCAACAACACTTTAGGGTCACCATAAGGGGCTGGGCAGAGGACAGGAGATTTATTTGTTTGTCAGAGTGTTTCTATTTTAACCTACAGTTGTTCCAGTCTGGTGACTGAAAGGAAGTGCCTTTATATGCCACTCGAGATGAAGAGGAGGTGGGATTTTAGCTGGGTCTGAAGCAGCTTTCTCCTGCTCCTCTTTGATTTGCATTATTCTGGCCCTTCTCCTGCTGACAATACACGGGCACAAAGGTTACCACTGTGATAATTGCCGCTGACCCCTTTTCACAGCAGAGAACACAGGGTCCCTGTCTCCAGTCTATAAAGTCTGACTAATTAAAGCATCTCTTTCAGATACCAGATTTTGGGGAAAAAAAAAAAAAAAATCAAAACTGAACTACAAAACAAAAGCTGTATCTCGCAGTTTGAGCCAGTTAATACATTATGCATTCAATGGTGTGATATCGCTTGTGTGAGTGGAACTGCTGTGGATTTATAGTGGGATAAATGAGATTTGAGTTCCAGCCTAGAATTTCTGATTGTTGAATGTTTTCTTTCTAGCTGTTTCTAATGAGTTGTCTTGAGACCTTCCGTATCTGTAAATTAAAATATGTTTGTTTAATCCTTTCTCAATGCATTAAAAAAAAAAAAAAGAAGACAGAAAGTGCTTAGAAAACATGTATAGTTGCTTTTAAAGAAAATGTTTTTGTAAGAAATATATAATGTTGTCAGAAATTCATGTGTGGAAATTAATTTACTAATTTTTTTTTGTGTTAATTCGAAAGGCCTTACTGTAACTCCCTAAAATTCTCTGTGTTCAGTCACAGGAGCTGACTTAATTCAGGTCACACTGAAAGAGAAGGAAAGAGTGGCTTTACCTACCCCAGGTATGTGATAGTCTGTGTCAGAAAACATTGGTCTGGGAGTCACACCATTTCTTTTTATGGCTTTTTCAGGAGTAAATTGCTATTGTTCATTTCAGTACTTTGTACATCTATCAAGCCAACAGAGGCTCTTGCTATTCATTTAGGTGTTTATTGAGCCCTATCTACTATTGCTCAAGATAAATATGTGATTCCACAGTATAAAAAACTATAAACTCTCCCTGGCAAATACCACAGCAGATCAGAAAAGTCATGGAGAATGTAACTCTATAGAGTACTTTAGTGCTCCACACTTTGGTATTGCTGCTCAGTTTCATGTTTAATCAGACAGAAAAATATACCAGAGACAAGGGACACTTCCACATTTTGATATTTGGGGGTATTGTTGCTTAGAGAGGCTACCTGGAACAGGGGTTAAAGTGTAAAAGGAATCAAGTAGGTATTTCTTGAAAAGCCTTAAAAGGATACACCTTGGGCAGAATAAGAGCCTGGCTGTGGCTCCACCCAAGATGGACCCAACAGAGATGACAGGTCATGAGTTTTCACACCTTTATAAGTTTTGGTCCAATTACATATTGAGGCTAATTGTCCAATTACAATTTCAGGTTACGAAGTCCCATCCTCACAGATTTCTCTCCTTAATTTGCTGTTGTTCACAATTTTTGGGCCTGAAGCTGCAATGGTGTTCTTGGTTCTTGGGCTGGAAAAGGATTGTTTTGTCCAACTGAACTGTGAGGAGAACTTGGTAACACTTTATATGAAGTTCAGAGTCACACGCTAATACAGAACACAATCTGAAAAATGTCAAAGCTAAAACTTAAGGCATCATATTAGCTGCCTTGCTATGTTGTGGTTAACAATAATCACTTCTGTGGAAAAAGGGTTTAGAGACATTTTGGCAGGGTGTTTCTTCCAGAACAAACAAATGATTGGAGAGACAGACCCAAACTTAAGGAACTCGACATGGGTGTAATTTCTGTGTTTCCCTGTGCTAACAACTGAGGTTATTTTTGTACACCACAACATTACTGAGCTGGGTCTAGCCCCTAAAATCTTGGCATGTCCTTGCTCCCATATTTTCAATCCCCAAAGAAGCTTTCCTCAAGAAAAAAACAGCCAGAATTCCCTTTACAGTGGAAGGACAGAAGTAGGTGCTTGCAGAGGCCTCCAGAGGGAGGCCCTGCCTGCATTAGTCTGGGATTTACTAAACTTAGTGCAGGATTTTCCCTTGGAAGCTTCCTTTCCTCTCCTTAGGGACAACAAACCTAGGGGCAATTCATTTACGGAGCCTGGCTAGTTAGCTCTCTAAAATACAAGTGCAAGTCAATCAGCTGCATCTTGTGAACTCAGTTTCTTCCAATATTTTCCTAAGGCTCATGATTTTTCTTTTGGATTGACCTGAAAAAGAAAATTTTGGAGAAGGAGCAGGAGTTTCTATGTGTCTTGGTCAAGCTGCTTTTCTAAGGCAGGTCTTGGTCACCCCTTGGAATGGGAAAATTGCTTTTCTGGGTGTTAGCAAGCTTGTAAGAGTTGATCACTAATAATTTTAAATTTTTTGTACTTTGGGAAAGTATGGAAATTCCCATGCCCTGGGAATTCAATCAATCAGTTTTCTTTAAACATGGAAAATAACAGAGAATAGTTAGCAGTGACAAAAGGAGGATGTTGATGCCACAGATGCTGACTATCAAAGAAACAGTAGTTCTTCCAGCTACAGAAAATGATAATCCTGTCTTTATGTGTTCTGTTTTGTAGTTCCTTCTTGTGCTGTCTTGAAATGGTCACTCCCAGAGGCATGGAATGGTGTGGGAAAAGGCTGGGGTGGATCCAATGGCAGCATCCCAGGCCCTGGGGAAGACGTCATCATCTTGCCAAGTACGTGAGGATGGAAAGGTGTTTGATTTCTGTGGAGGTACTGGGCTCTGCCTACGTTGGGATTTATATTTCTGTTCCAATATGGGCTCCTTGGCCCTGACGGCCATTCCAGTGTGTGCAGGACCCCATATTTGTTCCTTGTCACACAGACTGCAGTACAAAAATGTAGTTTTTGGAAGAGAATGATAATTCTTTTCCATTTTCACATACATATGAACACAAGCACTTATGCTGACTTTCAAGCTGGACTATGTACAGGGACCTTAATTCAGAAGAAAACTTGTAAGAACCACAGCTCACAAAGAGCTCATCATCTCTTGACCCATCTCTCTCTGTGTTTTGTGCAAGGATCATATTTTACATTTCTGCATAACCTTCCATTGTATTTTCTGTTGCAATTCCAATTTATCAATGGTAATTTCTCAAACCATTTGCCATGGATGCCTCCTAGATATTTTAGCTTAGGCCTGTATTTCAACTTGAGTTACATCTAAATCCCTGCTCACCTTACAACATTACTGCATGAAAACTGGATTTTAGTAAATGCATTAGGGAATTTGCAATAAAATCTAGAGAAAAGTTTGTGATAACCATTTTACATAAGAGCTGACCCTCCTTTTTTAGTTGGACAACATGAGGTCCTGAGTTCCTTTCTAGATACAATTATTGAATGATCCAATTGATATTGTTTGATATGTACCTGAAATATTCCAGAACCTGATGCTGTCTCCTTTTTTGTTTGAAACCAGTTAAGTCTCTCTACCTGTCACAGCTCCACTTCTGGAAATTTTGAATGTGGATAACATTGCTCCATGTCTATTCCTCTCCCACCTGGTTTCAGTTCATGGCTTCTGTGGAAGGAAGTGTTTGTGTTGGTATTTGGGCATGGAGCTTCAGTCATGGTTAGGGCTTCTCTGGCCTGTGTTATTAGAGATTTCATACACACACACACACACACACACACACACACACACACACACACATACATATATATATATAAACCCTAACCATGACTGAAATTCCATGCCCAAATACCAACACAAACATCTCCTCCCACATATATATATCTATACACACACACACACACACACACACACATATATATATATATAAAATTGAAGGTTACATTAAGAATTATGATCCACCTTCTCTATATATTTAGTTTAATCTTCAATTTTCTAATAAGTATGGAAAAAAACAAAAACCAAAGCCTGTACTTTTAAAAATATTAATTTTCTTCACTTTTGGGGGGAACTTACATTGAGCTGAAGAGTAGATAATGCTGGAGTTCAGGGAGAATTTATTCATGGAAAGGGTGGTCAGGCATTGGCAGGGGCTGCCCAGGGAAAGTGGAGTCCCCATCCTTGGAGGTGTCCAAGGAAGGTCTAGAGGTGGCACTTAGTGCTCTGGGCTGGTGACAAGGTGGGGATCAGTCACAGGTTGGACTCGATGGTCTTGGAGGTCTTTTCCAGCCTTAATGATTTTGTGATTCTGTGATGACCAATTCACCAATATCAGCCCAGATAAGACCAGAACATTCCAGTTTTCACCATCATGTATCAGATATAGATACGAATAGGAACAGGGGCAAATTTACACAGTGAGTAACAAATTAATAAATAAATAGGTTTGGCTGAGGGTTTGGAGTTCTGTTGTTTAGATCAGATCAAGAGTAGATGAAGGATGAGTTTGTGATGCATGATGAATAAAACTCTTCTGTGTTTCCTGCAAAGGTGAGGAGCTGAAGCATGTGCAGAGAAGGGCAATGATGCTGGGGAAGGATCTGGATCACAGTCTGAGACACCCAGTGGGGTTTTTGGGGCTGTTCTGTGCAAGGCCAGGAGCTGAACTCAGGGATCCCTGTGAGTCCCTTCCAACCCAGGTTATTCCATGATTCTGTGATTCTATAAAAATCTCTTCACTCCCATTGCCAGAGTAAATGTGTTTGTTGGTTGATGTGCAGAAACTATTCTACTCTCCACTGCCTTTCTGGAATCCTTCTTTGATTTTATCCTGAGAACACAAACATGAACACAAACACAAGCTGTCTATCACACCATCTATTTTGTTACATCTCTGCCTTTTCTGGTCGTCCTCTCTCTATTTTATTTCTGCTCTTCCTCTTCAGTCCTGCTGGTTTGGAGGTGTGGAGACACTCACTTACATTAGAGTCAACAGAGTACAGGGTCTTAAATTAGAGTCATGGTCCTCACCAGGGTGCTAAGGGCACTGGATTTGTTGCTCAAATAAATGCATTAAAAATTAAGTTAGGCAAGGTGAATTTTCTGTCCATTTTGCATGCTTTTCTTTGCTGCCAAAAGTGTCTGAGTCTTCAGTTCAAAGAAAGCCAGCCCCTTGCTTGGATCCAAAATCTAAAATGAAATCAACAATTTTAAAATGTATGTTTAATTGTAGCATTTTATGGATGTTTCTCTTCCCATTTCTGGCTTGTGCAGACCCTGCTAAACTCCAAATGACTCCAGATGGCTTCAAAACAGTGAGAGTTTGTTCTCATGAGAACAAATATTCTACAAACCACACAAACTTTGTGCTGATATGCACATCAGAAGAAGTTTCTATGATTCACTCCTGGCAAGATGCAGCCGTGTCTTACTCTTTGCTGTCTTCTAGTTACTTAAAATTCTCTTCTGGGAGTCATCTACAATGATTTTCTGGTTGAAAACCAAAACATGAGCTTGCTTCTCGTATGCTGTATATGACTAGCTTAGTCCTTTCAGCCCCCAAAGAACAGTTTTAGAGTCAAAAAAGCAAATAATAGATCAGTTTTCAGGTCATAAAAGCAAATAATAGATGCTTAGTGCTCATTTCTAGTGTGAAGAAGCACAGGGGAAGACTTTGGTCAGACACTGTTGAAATCTTTGACTGAATGTGGATTCCTAGAGTTCACTGGTAGAACTGGAGCACTGTCTAAATTTAGCTATTGAAGGCTTCAATTTGCTTATTTAACAAAAACAAGCAGAATTGCAACATTAGGGCTACCTCATGGGCTGGTCTCAGGAAGGTTTGAAAAGGTAGAAAATGCCTATATTAGCAAAATACATATTAGAAACCAGGTTTTAGTGTTCTTTCTTGGTGTCTGCTTGACATCTGGAGATTTGGGCAAGCTTGGAAATTGGGGTTGTTTACAAAGTTCTTTCTTTTTTTGCCCTGATTCACTTCACAGACTTAGTGCAAGGATGACTTTCACATGCAACAAAGGCAGGTTCCTAATGTAAAAGTGACTTTTAGTGTTGGTGTGTTGCTACAGTTCCCATCAGTATCTGTCTCCCTGGTGGATATGAGTATCTTCCAGCCTGATCTGGAAATTCTCAGCTCAGGCTGACACAGCTTGTGCTTTTATCCCTGGAGGTTCATCCTCCAGAGCCACAGCCATCCCACAAGGGCCTCTCACATGCATCAGGCTTCAGCAGCCACACCACCTTGGAAAACAAGCCAGAGGAGTTTAGTCATGCCATTCCAGCAGCCAGCAGTGGCATTATATTCCCAAAGCCCTGGGATTTTCAGGGCTTTGGTTTATGGTTTTCAGTGTGGCACACTCCTGATGCAGTGTGCTCTGGGTGGAAGGAGAATGTGTTACAATTCCAAGCAAAGGAATGCTGTTTTGAAGGGTATTGATATGATATCATGTAGCCTCTGGCAATTTCTATCTTCCTTTTTTTTTCCTCTCCAGTGGTGGAATTCACTCTGTTCTTCATTTTCTGATTTTGATTTTCTTTGAAGTTTTTCTGTTTGAAGAGATGAATGCTGGAGTACTGTATCCCATATAATAGCTCCTCTGTTGTGCCTGATTTCCATTCAATTGCATGCTATGGTGTTTTATACAGCAATGTGGTTGATCAAAGGCATTTTGTGTCATTGCTGGAGTCATTAATGCCTTCTCAGTATTGTACATCTGAACATTAAGACTCTGGCATACCTGAGCTTTTTGTCTGAAGAAAGCGTATGTACAATGAAATATTGCCCTGTTCTCAAGCTCAAGGTATAGTTTGCTGAAAGTGTTTTCTTGCCATTATATGAATATTTTCATATATATATATGAAAACAGGTGGGAAAAGGTGGGAAAACAGCTCCAGTTTGTCTTTCTCTGAAGGCAAATCCTTTGAGACTTAAAGTCTATTCTTTTAACTGCTAAGTCATATCTTCCTCTATGAGGTAAATGAGTATTTTCTTTAAGGAAGTTGCCTTTCAATCTGTTTGCTTTCCTCCTCAAGTGTGGAAATACTTTTTCCCCCCTCAAAGGAGTGTTCTGTTGTTTCTGCAGAGGAACATTTCCCCCTCTGAGGACTTCACACCCCAAGCATCACACCCAGAGTGTTGTCCTTTTAAACTGAGAAAACTCTAGGTTTGCAGAGATATCTCTGAGTGGGGGAATTTCTCACTCCTCTATTTCAAGGCTCACACACATGATGCCACAGTAACAGAGCAGTCAGCATTTCCTTTATAAAACCTTTTTCAGAAAGATGTGCAACTCAGCAAAAAATCTCTGTTCTAGACTGAAATGTGACATATAAATGGCATGCCTGGGAGCACTGCTTCTTTTCCTTGTAAAAATGTTTCAGCCTGTGTTTGATGAATATACTTATGGCCTTTGTCAACTGCAGCTTTTTGCCACATTCTTGAGCTGTGATTTCACAAACTAGATTCCCCTTCTGACTGAGAGATACCATTTTAACAATGTCTCCCCCTCATTCTCCTCTCTGTTTCATATCCTCACATCCTCAGCCTTCCTTCCACAGCTCTGCAGGGCATGGGACTGTACCTGTCCTGTAAAGAGATTATAGACAGGAATCTCTTCATGCCTGTAAAAATATATTAAGTACTAACACTGTAACACTTAGGGGGGAAAAAAAAGCACTTGCTCCCTAGAGACTTACTTCATCTGAATGCTGAGAAAATTTTGGAAGCTTGAAAGATGTTTCAGCTCAGGGATGCAGGGAATTTGTTTTGGGATGAGGGGTTCAGACTAACCATGGCTTGCTTCTGTACTTGGTATAGTCCTTGAGAGCAAACATCCTGGGCTTTCAGGGTGCTCATGGCCAGAGAAAAAGGATGAAAATACAGAAGGGAAAAGGAAGAGGTGGGATAATTGATTCACAAGGAATATGTAGGTAGGAGACAAACAAGTCTGTAAGCAGAGTCAGAACTCCAAGCCTGAAAACAGAACCTGAAATAAAATTTTCCTTTCCCTGGAGGTTGTGAAACTACAGGGTTGCAAAACCAAGGAGTAAAAAACTAGAAAATGCTACTATTAAAGACAGCCTACTAATATTTTCTTTCAGTCCACTTCGGAGTGTACTTCATGAAGGTTTTCACAGACTTATATTGATTATGTTTCCTGCAAACAGGGCTTGGAAATTTTGTTAAACCTATGTGCTAAATAGTTTGAGCCAGTCCCTGATAATATGATTTTTGGCAAGGAATTTCTCTGTGCTACTCATTTTATGGCCATTTGTGTTCTTATCCACAGCAGTTGCCAATGTCCACAGACAGCAGTGAAAGTGTTAAGTAGCTGAACCACTTCCCAAGACACTTCATGGTTCTTATATTCCACACAAAACCAGTTTCAAGTGTCCCATTCTCACCCCTCTGTCAAAATACACCAAAAAATATGTGTGTTCCTTAATCTCTCCTGTTTTCTATATCTATGCCTTGTAATAAATGCTTATGAGAACAATGAGAGTCACAGAAGATCTCTGTGTAGGGTAGGGCTGCCATTATGTTGAAGATTTTTTTTCTGCAATCTGTTCCTATGAAAGCCATTATTAGAACATATTATTGAGCCCCTTTTTAGGGAAAAACCTTGCTTTTCCTTCTTCCAGGAACACCCACTGACTGAGAGATGCACCATACTGTTACTCTTGTCAATAATGAAAGGGGATGGAAACCACAGTTTCAGGGCCTGAGCTGTTTTCCAGTGCAATCAACTGAGAAGCTCTTAGTGACATCCAAGAGCATCAGATGGGCCCTGGGGGTGGAATTCACCTCTGTGCAGCAGGCTGCCTCTAAATGATCCACCATTTACACCCTTGCTCATGTCCTACTTGGAACACTTAAGAGGCATTTTACAGGTTCCCAGGCTGCAGACTTGCAGCTTTAGGAAGCAGCAGTGATGTTGTCATTGTGCTCAAGCCACAAAAGTTTCCACTCTGTTCTGAAATAGAAAAATATCTTCCTTGCTTTCTCCTTATGGATCTGAGGGGATGGTGCTTTGCCCTGGTCATTGCTAACTGATTTTTAGAGGGGAAAATAAATGCAGAATGGAACTCATGGTGGACCTGGCGATGACCTCAGAGCTCTTTTCCAACCTTAACAATTCTGTGGTTCTATGAGCTCTGGCTTCCTGCAGGTTGTCTTTGTGTAAGCAAAGATTTCCTCTTGGATGGTGGGGAAGAGGTGAGTTTTCATACACTAAACCTAACTGAGAGCAAAGCCAAGATGAAAAGAGGGAAAAATGGTAACAGAAAGTCAGTGGAGGTAGTTCATGGTATGTGGCTGCAGTTTGTCACCCTGATCTATTCTGGACAAGGTAGGGACTTACAGGTCCTTTGTACTATGATGCACCTTGGTGATACTGATGGATATTTTTCCATTTCCATCAATCTTAGAATCCCAGAAGGGTTTGAATTTGAAGGGGCCTTAAAGCTTATCTTTTTCCAACCTTCTGCCATGGGCAGGGACACCTTCCACTAGACCAGGCTGCTCCAAGCCTTGTCCAACCTGGCCTTGAATGCTTCCAGGGATGAGGCATTTTGTTATTCTTGTTCTCTTCAAAAGAACGCTCTTGTCCTCTCCAGTTCCATGAGGCAAAAATGGGAAAGATGGGGAGAGACTCTTTACAAGGGCCTGGTGTGACAGAACAAGGACTAATGGCTTCAAACTGAAAAAGAGCAGGTTTACATTAGATATTAGGAAGAAATTCTTCCCTGAGGGGGTGGTGAGGCCCTGGCACAGGTTGGCCAGAGAAGTTACGATTGCATCCCTGGAAATGTCCAAGGCCACATTGGACAGGGCTTGGAGAAACGTGGGATAGTGGAAGGGGTCCCTTCCTATGTCAGGAGTTCGGAACAAGAAGATGTTTAAGGTCCCTTTCAACCCAGGCCATTCCATGATTCTGTGAAAACCAATCTGAATAACATAAAACTCAAGCCAAGCTGACATTCTTCACCAGCTCGCCACACTTTTTGTCAAGTAGTGTTGTCAGGCTGCCATTGACCTAAACAATCCTCTCCTTTGTTTCCCAGACAGGACCATCCTGGTGGATGTGGCTCTTCCCCCTCTGAGAGGACTCTACATCCTGGGGACCCTTGAGTTCCCCAGCAACTCCAGCAACGTCCTGAGCGCAGCCTGTGTGGTGGTGCTGGGGGGTGTGCTGAGAATGGGTGAGTGAACAGCTGATCTTTGGGATGCCTGGGGTTTGTTTCTGCTCTTGATAGGGAAAAAACTGTGGAGAACGACTTATAGTGTCACCATAAACATGCTGTCCAAACTAATGCCCCGTGGCTGGCTGGATATCTGCAGTCTGGACACCCAGGATCCATGTGAAGCATAATGATTATCCACTGAACAAATTACCTATTCCTTTAATGACAACGTGTTACAAATACTGCAATCTGCACCTCACTCCTGGTTTCACTGGGGCAGAGATTTTATTTGATATGTGTAAAAGCCCTCCCTACTTCCTGTGGGGTTGCTTTATGAGACAGTAATTCCTCAGGGCAGGATCTACCCTAGTGTTCAGGCAATGCCTGGTGCCTATGGGCATTAATAGGACACTTTTTGTGACACAGAAATATTTAAAGCCAACATAAACATGAACAGAGTCACAAAGAATTCCCTGAATGCCTGGAAATCTTGCTGTGGTATGAAACAGCTGGATTCAGCACACTTGTTCTTCTCATCCCTCTGTACAGATGAGCACCAGGACCCCAGGAAGGTCCCACCTTGCCCCTACTTCCAGCTGTTCCACAGTCCCCAAAGTCACTGGGGCTGTTCCACATTATTTACAACAGTCAGGATCGGTGTTTTTCCACTCTGAAGTAATTATTCACATAATTCCCTTTAAATATCAAGGTTTCTAAAGCCAGGCATTATATTTACTTACAGGAATCCTTAGGACTCTGGGATCATATTGTTGATCATAGCTTGACCTTTCTCAAGATTGGTTTCATGAACTTTAAAAAGAGAATTTGTTTGTGTAATCACCTCCTGAGGAAGTCTGCTTCAATATTTGTTTGTTGTTAATCTCAAGGGACTGTTTAGTTAATATAGCACTGGCCACAAAAGTTATTTTGCTGTCTTGTGTTTTTCTATGGAAAAAGAGGTTGGAAAGCTTAATCTGGGAGGTTAAAAATATAAATACTTAAAAGACTGTCAGTCATTTCTTACTTTTACTCCTTTGCACTTTAAATATGGTTTCATATTGGTTTTAAGAAAAAGCATGTGTTCATTGCTAAACACTTATTAAAAAAACATTGAGGCACTTTGCTGCACAAACTCCCCTCCAGCACATCTGTGAATAGTAATGATATTAAAAGCCAAACAGGTATTTGCAGCTGTTGAGTCACAGTCCAGCCTCTCCTGGAGAGCTGTCCTTGTTTCAGCTGTGAGATGATGGGTGGGTAGAGACTCTGCAAGTTTCCCACGTCTCATACTGGCTTCTCTGCCTGCATGTAGAGCTGGGAGTGCCTGTTTATTCCTCCCTTCCCCTTTCCCTTCCCATGTGTTCGAGGCCTTACAGTAACATCTTGGAGCCCATCTGTCCAATCCTGCCTGTTCCATGCCTGAAGGAAGGGTTTTGAAGCCCATCTGTCCGACTCCACCACGCCCTAAAGAAATCCTGACACAAAATAGATAATGAGACAGTTTAGTAAACAGATTTAATAGATGTGGACATCAGTGTTCAGCACTGCCTGAGCAGGATCTCAGGTCGGCATCATGTGAGGCAAATCCCCAGGTCCTGCCTGTTTTGTAATTTCTCCATGTCATGTTTTCAGTGTAGCACTCTATAGCCACATGCTGTTCCTTCTAATTCTGTGGCCTGGGACAAAGACTTTCTGGTAAAGCTGGAGTATTTTGTTCCCTTAAACTCCTAGAGAACAATGATCAGTTTAGAAATTCATCTTATCTGGTTTTAGTGTCCTCCAGATCACTTGACTTCTTTGCAGAGACAAAACAATTCAGAAGGTTAAATCATGACCATAAATACATAGAAACCAAATGATGATGGCAAATATGTAACAGAGGGGAAAAAAAATCAGTGTAAAATTGGAGTTTGTCAACCATAACAAGAACCTAATTAATTTTATAGAAACAATAATTTACAGGTAAACTGGGATGAGAAAATAGTGATGGTTGGGAAATCAGAAGTTTTGGAATACCATTCACTCTGCAGGGTCAATCATCACTTTTATCTTTAATGTATGATCACAATCCCTGTGAATTATGATCCCTGGAAGATGTGAGATGATTTAAGATCCACAAAGAGCTCTGTCAGAACCCTTGGAAAACCCAAAAGAAAATGTGTGGATCTACCCCCACAGGAATTTCTCTGTGTGCTCCTAGACCTTCAGTGTTGTTGGACCCAGGGAAACTTTCTGATTATTTCTACTTCCATAGTCCTACCTCTAAGATAAGGAGTTTCTCTCTTTCACATTATCCTTCAAAGTGTTTTATGATGATGTTTGCAGTAGAATTTTAGTTACACCATTTATTGCTATTTCTCTGCACTATGATACTGTAAAAATTGGCTATTTTTCCACCTTATGAAAGGAGAGTTTAAGGTTCAGAGAGAAAAGAAAAGTGCTAAATATCATTAGCACATCTGTGCCCAAACAAGGTAAGAAATTATGAGTTCAACATATCACAGTTGTTTTTCCATTCTCAGCTAAGATGTTTCTGTCCATTTTAACCCACAAGCATTAAAAATCAGATGATATGTGCAGAAAGTGCCCCGTTCCACTGCTGAGCAAAGCCCTCAGCTCTCAATAAACCTGAAGAAAATGCTGAAGTTCATTTGGCACACATTGATCCATTGGACTCCTCCTGAACTAAGCTGCACTCAGCTGCTCTTTGCTGGCAGGCTACTTTTGCTTTTTATAGTAGAGCCCGTCAAGTAATTATCTAGATAGGATTTCTCCTTTTAGTTTCAACTTGTCACATTCTTTCCTTCACATATCTCCTGATGGCTGCTTGTCAGTCATGTCACTCATTGGAAGCAAGAAGCCTAAGGTCATCATTAGCTCATGGCTTGATTGTCTGGAGAGGGAACCCCAGACAGTTTTTATGCCCTTATCTTGTTTGTGGTAAGAGCTCTAATGCATTTTTTCTCCCTCTTTTCCAGGAAGAGCCCCCATACTGATTTGTCAAAGGGTAAATAAGTGTATTTCATTAAATGGCCATGTGTTAGCAGTAAATAAAGAACAGTAATTAGAGCACCAGTGAATTTCACCAATTTACTGTCTTTTCCAACTTCTCCAGCACCTGTGTTGTGTGGGTCCCATCTTTGGCTGTGGGCTGAGTCCCACCCTGCACACATCATCCCTGCACAGCTGTCCAACTTGTATGAAGAAGGGATTCTGTTGGTGTAACAAGATGCATTTTCATTCCAGATCACAGAGAAAAGTGGTTTGAAAAGATCGTTGGACTATTTGTATTCCCTTCAATGAACCCCTCAGCCTGTCTATTTGGCTTTTAGCCCTCCAAGCCATTCAGTTTCTTTCAATTGATTGCACCATGTAGGGAAGGGATTTGGTTCACTTGTTCAAGACACCCAAATTTAGGTGTGATGTGGGCATCAGCACATGAGCTGCTGTTCCAGTAGAGGTCTATCCAGTATAACCAGTGGAGCCCCTGCAGTGGGACTGGTTGATAAAGGTATCTAGAGAAAATCTACATTAAAAAACATTTTTAAAAAATAAAATCTACATAAAAAACCTGAATGCAGGTATATGATTCTCCCCAGAAATATGGTTCAGTTGCCTAATTATAAGGATTTTATATTGTTCTGAGCACCCTCAGGTGTCTCCCCTGCCTGCAACTTCTGCGTAAAAGTTCCACTCTTCAGTCATTTATCCCTGTCTTGTATCTGCCATCCAAGAGAAGATTTGGAGGGCACTGGGACTCTCAGATCCCATCCTACGTGTCTCACCACTTATTCCTCATTCACCTCCCACTTCTGGCTGTTGGTTCCTATTCCACAGCTGTGGAAATGTGTAGCTGAGGACTTCTGAAATCTTCTGTACATTTGGCAGAAAGAGGCAACCAAGTGAGGTCTCCTAGCTTGGCTGCTCTCCAGAGTGCAGCCTGAACACCTGGAGGAAGCTCCAGAAGTGAACCAACAATAGGTGCTGTCCAGCTGTGCATTGACCATGAATAAAAGCTTCTCAGACTTTCTGGTGAAAGTATGGCACTGTTTTCAAAATAGCTGGGTACTTAGAGTCCAAGAAGTTTTGGATTCTGGAAACAGAGATGGAGGAGATGGTCCCAGTAAGATACTCAGCAAAGTCTGTTTGCCAAGTGAAGGGAGGAGATCATATCTCAGAGATTTCATTACCCTTATATGCAACAGCTGTGGCAGAGTGTTATGTTGTGAAAAAAAGAGAAGGCTAGAAGGGAGGAAAAACCCACTATTCTAGGAAAGAATTGAATGGGTTTTGCTATGGAACAAAACCCCAAACAATACAACAAAAATCTGTCAGGAGGAACATCTGGAGCAGAACCGAAAGATGAAAACAATGGAAAATACTTTTAAAACTCACCAAACTAGATCCAGACCACAGTCCAGAAAAAATGAAAATCTGGGCAGAAAAACCACATCTCTATTTCTGTTCTCCTGTTTATTCCCTCCTATTTTTCTCACAGTAAGTTTTCTCCTGTCCAGGGGTTAGACCTGATGAAGGATTATGAACCAGCAGAAACCATTGTGCCAACAGATCTGTGTTACCATCTCAACATTTGCATCTCACACTTCAGGATAGTGTTTATCATTGGTGAATTTATTAACACATCAGGCTGTTTAACACAGGATTATCATAAATGACTGGGGTTTTTTGCACTGTGTAGTGCAATTGGAAGAATACATTTTTGAGGGAGTCTTGCCTCTGTCTTTAGTGCCTCCTGACCTTTTCCGCACATCTCACCAGACATTTCCACCTTTTGGCAATTTCCAGGTTGCAAGTATCCTTTTTTCCTGGTTCTCTGCCAGCAGCATGTTAATATTTCACTTTATGATCAATCAGGTTGCTCATCAAATTGCCAGGGCTTCCAGCTGGAGTAGGAGCATGAAAGGGGATCCATTTCCACTCATCTCATGCAGGATGGGGAATGGGGGCAGTTTGGTGTGGTCTTATGTAGGATTTGCTCACCACAGAAAAGTGGGACAAAAAATCTGAAGTTTTCACATCCAAAGTCCAAAGATGGACACTTAAAGCCCAGATCCTTCACTTATGTGTTGCAGAAATTATGATTCCTGTTGTTTGTGGCAACTTGCTGTATCCAAAAAAATTACTTATTACAAGAGCTGTGATTTCATTGCTAGTTACTTCATAAGGTTCTGAAATTTACCCAGCTCCCATGACTTGTGTGAATCAACAATTTTGGAGTCCCCTTATTAGTAGGCTGAAATAGCTGCTTCTTCCATATCTTCATTTTCATGGGCCATTCTCCTGGAATCTATTTATACTTAGCCAGAGTGTGTATCTGAGACCTTACTCAGCTTTTACCTTTGTTTTTCATTTTTCTCCATTCATTCCCAGAGAGATTCTTACCTTTTCAAAACCTCTTGCCTTACTATGTTCAATATTAGAGAATCACAGAATGGATAAAATTGGAATGGATCACTGAAGGTCATCTAATCCAACCATTTTGCTCAATCAGAGTCCCCTAGGGCATTCTTCACTTTTTTCCTAATTCTTCACTTCTAAATTCCTGCTGCCTTTCCTAGAGTATCCTTGTAATTGTTCTCTCCAGTTGTATCAGTTTATCTGCTTACTTCCAGAATCTTCACACAAGTTTGGGTTCCTAATAAAACATTGAATGCCACAGGATTTGCAGGACCAAACCTGGCTGAGTCCATGTCCCCATTCCAGTTCACTCAGGCTGTAAATTAGTGTGTGCCATGTTCCTGCTGTACTCGTGTAGTTTGTTAATCACAAAGTTTTCTCCTACTAAGCCAAGTGCCTTGGAGAACCCAATTATACAATATCAAAGCTATTATCTTTATCAACTAGACCTGTAATCTCATTAGGAGACTATAACAAGGAAGTTTCACAGGACCTTTTTTTCTGTAAAAGCAGGTTGATTGGCATTAATTATATCATCCACCTTTAATGATTTATTAATTGTGTTCAGAGTTGGACTTTCCATTTTTATTTATTTTTCCCCTAGAATCAGTGTCAAGTTGACAGGCCTGTAATTACCTGGGGGTTTTACTTTTATCTTTGTTTGAAATATTGGCAAAATATTAGCTTTCTTCAAGGACTCTCAGACACCATGAGTGATCCCAAAATTATTGGCAAGTCCACCTTAATAGTCCAAAGGGTTTCCTGTAAAACTCTCTGCTAGCACTTGCATTCAAGTTACTGAAATCCATTGATTTAAACCCATGGAACTGGGGGTTCCAGTGGGTTTAAATCAATGACTAATGACAATATGCAAGTATTAAGCCTATTTTTTTCTAAATATGCTTAAAAAAAAGAGAATTTTTCTGCTGATTGTTGACTATTGTGTTCTTTTACATCATTTGCCAATTACAGTTTCCAGCCACTGCAGAATTTCTGTGAATATTATCTCCCCTTTTAAATTTAATTTTATTTTCCATTATAAATAGTTTTATTTTGACCTTTTTTTCTCACTCTGACTGTATTTTTTATTTGTGTGGTTTTGGCTTTTTTTAACAAGGGTAACATTTCTTAATATGTCATGCTTTTTTGGACTAAAATTTATAAATTTTAGGTAAATGTAGATGTAAATCTTTTAAGGGAGGGAGAACTTCCAGTTCATCCTACAGAATCCCCATTTCCAATCCTTTGTACATGATTGTTAAGTCTGGAAACCTACTTAAAAATTGCTTTAAAACTGAGCTGATAATTGGATATATGAGATGGTTTTAACTGACTTGACTATAATAGTAAATGTTTTGTAACTAGGACTAAAAAACATGGAAAATTGTGAAAGCGTATTTGGAAACAACCTAATTCCTGCTTTTACTCTGATCAAAAAACAGTTATGGGAATTTAAACAAGGAAATCCAACCTGGATTGGGTGGACGATGGACACTAAAAAATAATTCCCTCCATATCCCCAGAGAACATATGTGCTCACTGGGGTGAGATATATTATATGGGGAACATGCAAGTCTTGTACTGTTTGCCTTTTACCCATTAAAAAGGTGTAAAGAGAATTTAAATATCCTCAGTTATCATTCAGATGCTGGTGGGGAACAATTAATTGTTTTATTGATTTCACATAAATAAAAAAAGGTTCTTAAAGCAAAGTGTTTCTTTAGGATACAAAATCAGCTCTCTTTTCCAAACTAGTAATTCTTAAATATTAAAAGAACATGACAGGACAGCTAATTTTACACAGATACATATATATATTTTAGTTCTACATCTGCTGCAGTTTTCTGTTGCATAATTGATTTAATCTCTAATTTTAAAGGAACGCTGAACTCCTTTACTGGACTCTGCATACATTTCTCCAGGGCAAAAACTGTCCTACTTTTTCCTCCTTAATATCTGTTTAGTTCTGGGCCATTTTCTTCTGAAACTGTAAACTACCCTTGGTGAGAGAAATGGAGGCAATGTTGGAATACAGTTTGCTGTGCAGACTTATCACCATTGCACACACCAAAACTTCTTGGGCACTTTCTTTTTCCCTACTTTTTTTCCTTCAGCCTTTCCATTTTTCACGCCCTTGCTGCACAATTATCCTGCCACGGGTGAAGGAGCAAAAAGGCAAAAGCTGGTTGAGAAAGGAAATATTAATTCATTTATTTAGATATTTCTTTAAAATCAGATTCACACGTATTCTCACCCTAATTTCCCTCCCATTTTCAATGTCACAGAGGCCATGGATACTTTTGTGGTGGGTTTGATGCTGTTTTGTTTTTATTCCAGGTTCTTTGCAACATCCCCTAGAAAGGGATTTAAAGCTGCTGTTCCTTCTTCGGGCTTCTGAAGGGATTTACTGTGATCGTCTGGAGGATATAAATGTCCACCCAGGGAGTATTGGTATGAAACATGAATTCCACTTTTTCCAGCGAACTAATTTTTGGTAATGTCCAAATCTACCACTATTGAAACTGTTACTACATTGTACAAATAAACCTCAAACAAAGGTACACATATTTTAGAGCTAACATTTAATCTTCTGGGACATATCATCTCTATGAAAATCTTCTGTATTTTGGATTTGTTCTCTGGTTTTGGATCCCTTTTCCAGGGTGGGGGAAGAAAGTTCATTGTCCAGAAAGATTAATAATAGCCACATAATTTTTTGTGCTTTTAATTCCTGGAGTTTTTACCTAATTTTTTTACTTAGGTAATTTTTTTAAATTATAGATATCATTGTCTGCAATTCCTTTACTTCTAATTTGTGTCAATGAGAATTCTGTGGTAAAATCCCCTCTTTTGCTTGCACATGCAATGGTCATTTCAATTTATTGAGGACTTATTGCTCCTTCACTTTGTATTTTGAGTGAAGGTTTTGTGCTGTTCTTACACTTCTCATAAAATATAGAAACATACTTTAATAAATATAAAGATTTCCATATATTTAGTTATTGTTTCAGTTCATCTCAAACTTCTTTTTCTTTAACCTTTGAAATCCTCCTTCTGTTCTTTTATTTTTTTTCCCCAGGAGTTTATGGACAGGTGCAAATTTATAGTGCTTATCCTAAGATGCCTTGGACACATCTGGGAACTAATGTTGCTCCTGGCAATGAAAGGTGGTATTTTGGCCAAATATGCTTTCAAATATTAAATTTTGGCCCCTGTTGCTATGACTTGTATTTAATATTCCTGTGAGTTACATTATTCTTTCCCTTTGTGATGGGCTCTGTTTGAATCCTACCTAGACAGAAAAAAACAGCCTAGGTAACAGAAAATTGCACCATGATGGGGAAGCTGATGACCTTAAGGTCCCTTCCAACCCAGATTAACTTTAATTGTAAAGAAATCTAAATTCTAAGGATGAATCAAGCCTCCCTCCCTCCTTTTTCTCCCTTTTAGCCAGGCCTAACCAAGCCTCACTGGAAGAGTTCCCATCAGGGTAGAGGTGTCAGCATTTAGAGAAATGATTGTAAAGATGAGCAGTGGAAGAACAAAGACCTCACCAGCAGAGCTCATTTGTTGTGATCTCTCTCAGAGTTGTGTGTTCAGTGTAGATTAATTGTTTAAGAATTGCTGTGTAGCTGATCCTGATCCAAATCCACCAACTTTAGAATCACCCTCTGGAAATTCTTCTCCTTCCCTGACTGAGTTGGGAGATCAGAGTAAGCAGGTTCGACTGGAGCAGGCCAGTTAAACACTTGGATGAAATGGATCCAGGCTAGATCTGGGTTGCTGCCCAGATATTTTATGTGAAATATCATGAGGTGCTAAGATACAAATGTTTGGAGTTAATGCATGTACATTAACAGCACAAGAGTCTTTTCCATTGTTAAAATAAAGGGGAAAAAAAAAAAAGAAAACTATGCCCTATTTTTCATTAAAAAATCTACCAATAGTCAGCTAAGAGTTAATGTGCTTGAATACAGGAAATAGGTAAAGCAGTGCTGGAATATGAAAGCTGAGGAAAAATGAAAGCTGAAGGAAGTGGATTTTATTGAAGGAGAGGAGCTGGCCTATATAATTTTCCAGTGTGAAT